ACACAAGAAACGCCAGCTGCTGGGGAAGCAGCACTCCTCTCAGCACAAACAGGGTGGGGGTCTGAGGGCTGGCATGGACATTCCCGAGCTCCCCGCCAAGTTCCAGGTGGTGGCTGCCCCGGGCTGCGAGAAATCTCTGGACAAAACAAGAAGCAGCTGGCTGAGGTGGGCCAGTGGTGGGCTTCTCAGCCCCCAGCGGCCAGGCCACAGGTCACAGGAGGCTGTAGGTGCTCTGCCCTGGCTGCCCGGCGGGGCACAGCTGGTGGTGGGTGACATGTATGGTTTGAGGGATCTGCCTGTTTCAGCCTCCCTAAGCTCTGCTCCCTGCATGGAGGCAAGTGGGACCCATGGGGACCCTGTGCCTGGCCACCCCAGACCTCTGGCCCAGGCCCCATAATCCACATCATTTCAGCATCCCTGGCCCAGCATGCCTGCCCTGTTTGCGTTGGCACTCAGCTCTCAGTAGCTTCCTGGCAGCTGCCTTCCACTGTGATGGCTGGAAACCACGTCTGGGTTTCCCATGAGGACAGGAGTGTCCCTGGCATTTCCCACCTCGAAACACAGCTGGTGCTCAGGAGCAGCAGCCCCCCCTCGTCCCAGGAGCCCAGGCGCGGCCTACCTTGTAGTACTTGCCGTAGACGTTGGACACCACCATGATGATGGGGAAGCCCATGAAGGTGACCAAGGACAGCTGCCAGGAGAGGCTGAACATGAAGACCACCACGCCCGTGACCTTCACAGTGTTCCGCAGGAAGATGTTGATGTTCTGTGAGACCAGGTCGCTGACCATGGTGGTGTCCGAGGTGAGGCGGGAGATGAGGTCGCCTGGAACACAGGTGGTCAGCTGCAGCTGCAGGGGGCGCACCATGAGGCCACAGGTGCACTTGGGGGCCGAGATAGGAGCTGGGAGTCTAGGGGTCCCTGGGTGGCCTGGCTTGGGTCTTACCACAGCCACAGCTCGTGCCAGAGCCTCCGAGGCAGCTCAGGTCCCAGGAGCCCAGCCAAGCTTGGGGGTTGCCAGGGCCAGGCCTCCAGGCACCCCCATACAACTCCCGGAGGGGCCCAAGCCCAGCCCATGCCTGGTTACCAGACACCCACCTGTGCGGTTCTCATCAAAGAAGCTTGTCTCCTGAGACACCAGAGAGCGGAAGAGACAGTTTCGCAGGCGGATATTCAGTCTGGCAAATATGAGGGTAAAAATGCCGCCCCGAATACCTGCGGCAAATGAGCTAATTGCAGATAAGAGACGTTATAGCACCATGTCCTTCCGACAAGCGGCAGCCACCACCCGGCCTCCCCTCCCATGGCTAGCAGGCAAGGGCCCCCCGTGGCTGGTGCTGCCCAACTCAGGCACTCTCCAGGGAGAGCTTAGGGCGGGTCCCTTCATTCTGCAGTCGCAGCCACACTGTGAGGGCAGGGGGAGGGGACAGGAGACCCTCCGGGGCCGAAGCCAATTTAGGAGATGCCTCCACCTCAGGGACAGGGGTCCTACACTGGAGGCTCAGGCTCTAGTCACCGTGGCAGGGGCAGAGGGCAGGGGCCCCGGGGGGCGCGGGCGCTACCTGCCAATGGCCAGCAGGCACACGACGACCACAGCGGCGCTGAACTGCTCCATGCTCTTCTGGATGACGATGCTGTCGACGGCGCGGCCGGTGTAGTAGGGCAGGAAGGTCTCGCCTGCGGAGGCAGCACGGGTTCAGGGCAACGCGACGCGTGTGCCAACCATGGCCCGCCGCTCCCTGCAGGGGACACGCGGGCTCGCACTGCCACCAAGGGTATGACAGGGGTCAAAACCGGCTGGGCCACTCAGCACCAGTGCTCGCAGCCACCGGGGTGGCCTGGACGGCCACAGCGACGCTGTGATGCAGCTCAGCTGTGGCACCTGCTGCGGGACCAGCGGGCAGAGCCACGTTCTGCGTGGCGGGAGCTGCGGCTCTCGCAGGCCGCCGCTGGCAACTGCCCCCCCCCGCAGGGCGCTTGCGCTGTGACTTGTCATTTTGCATCCTCCTCTGTCTCCACGGCCTGGACACTCTGAGAGGCCGAGCAACTTGGACAGAGGGCGCGGCCGGGCCTCGAAGCCTACCACACGGCTCTCCTCCTCCGCGGGGCTCTCACGCCCTCTGCTGGCCGTGGCGCAGGAAAAGGAGGTGTCGGCGGCCCTCGCGTCTCTCACGCTCTGGGCTGCCAGCACGCGGGTCCCTCATCCGCCTGAGCTGCACTCCTACCTCAGTTTACCCCGGTGCGGTAATGAGGGCATCCGGGGCGCAGGGCGCCGTGCGAAGCAGCCTGCAAAGTCGGAGAGTCGACAGGTGGAGGCGCGGGGCTCCGAACCGGCTGTGCCCTCGGTGCTTCCGGACTGCAAGTCCCTTCGCTCGGTCTCTGCACTACTCGGCGCCCCCTTAGCTTTGGGATTCTCCTCCCGTTTGTGGCAATTCATTCTTCCCACGGAAGGGGATGCCAGCTCAGAGCCCGTAAATCTCTTGCTCGCATTTGTGCCGTGGCGTGACCAAGAAATCCATACTGACGAACCCTTTTATCTTACTTTTTCCTGTTCTTACAGTACTGGGGATTGAATGCAGGGCCTCAGTGCCAGGCAAACCTCTACAGCTGAGAGACACCCCAGCACTTTTTACTTTAAGGCGAGGTTTTGCTAAACTACCCAGCCTGGCCTCAGATTTGTGATCTTCCTGCCTCACCCTCCTGAGGAGCTAGGATTACTGATGTGCACCTGCCGCGCCCAGCTTAAAGATCTGTATTTCTCAGGAGATACTCAACACTGAAATCAACCTTTCACCCCAATGCCTGTAGCCTCCCCTCTGTATTTTTACAAAGAAAAGTTGAGCATGAACAGGCGCATGTGGATCCCACGGCGGTGAACACAGTGCATACCTCACCTGGCCGTGCGCTTACTTTTTTTTTTTTTTTTTTTTTTTTTTTTTTTTTGTGGTACCAGGGATCGATCTCAGGTCCTTGTGCTTGCCAGGCAAGCACTTATTCCACTGGAGCTATCTCCCCGGCTCCCCCTTTTTAAAAATTTTATTTTGGGGGGGCGGGGACCTGCCCCTTAGCTCAGTTCTTTAAGTGGCTGCTTCAACAAAGCAGTCAAGCTCGGGTTGCTGTGGTTCGATCCCCACAACTCAAGCCAGCCAAACCTGCCCTGAAGGCATTTGGAGCAAAAATCAATCAATCAATCAATCCTTCTTTATTTTTTTGGTGGTACCAGGGATCAATCTCAGGTCCTTGTGCTTGCCAGGCAAGCACTTCATGTGCCTACTTTTGCTACTCCTTCACTCCATCTCACTTAATTCTCAGTAAACTAACAAAGCCCGCATGGGTGGGGGGACGACTGAGGTGTGGATGGGGCAATAAGTTGCCTAAAGCTGCCAGGGAAGCTGGGGGCCGCACCTCACCTCTGAGCTTGACACTGATGCAGTCCTGCAGGTGGTACAGTGGCACTGGGCTACCCATATGCCCTGAGCGTGTGCCAACCCACACAGCCCAGAGGTGGGGACATAGGCTGGGGTCACATGGGCATACGTGGGCAGTGTCGCGTTCCTCCATTGAGTTTGTTTCTGCACCAGGCCTGAGGCCCAGGGTGGGTGTCCTGGGATGGGGAAACAATAAAGCTGAGGGGTTCTGCCGTTGGTTTTTAGACAGGGCCTCAAACTTGCCACAGTCTTCCTGCCTCAGCCGCCCAAGTGCGGGATCACAGGTACGTGTCACCACACCTAACTCATCCTGTGTTTTCACTCAGTTTTGGTACTGAGAATCAAACTCAGGATCTCATGCCTGCCAGGCAGCTGCTGTACCACTCACCTGAATTCCCAGTCCTTTACACTCGGTTTCGCAAGGCCGTGAAACAAGGACCCTACTGACCTGCGTCGCACCACTGGTAAGGTGCAGGATTACGTTCTGGACCCAGGCTGTGCTGTCCCTAGAGCCCATGCAGCAAGTTCTATACATAGCGCCTCCTCTTACCACAGGGATGGCCTCTCTGGTTCTCTACTCTGATCTATTTCATGATGAGAAAATTCTTCCAACCTAGAGATCCCACTTCCAGGAGAACAACTAAAGCAATTATGATATAGTTAAACAGTGAAATACTATACCACCAGGAAAGGGAACGAGGTCTCAACGGGGAAAAATTCTAGAATATACAAAGTGAAAAGAACAGGTCACCAAAGAGAGTGTATATGAGACAGGGAATGGTATGTCCCTGTGTGCTTGTGGTGACACAAAAGGAAGACCCTTGTCTCCTGCCCACTTGGAAGTTTCCAGAACCTTGTCCTATAGTTAGTCCTGGACAGGAGGTCAGGAGAGTCAGAGGTTGAACTACACAGAGGTGAAATTCCTTATTTTCCCTTTTGTCACTCGGATACGCAGACTGTGTGGTGACACGGCGAATGGTGGCTAAGCCCCAGGCGCTCACTTACCCAGAGCTGCCACGATGAGGAAGAAGGCGGCAGCCACAAGGAAGGCCGCATCAGGCCTGGTGTAGGACAGCAGCTTCTGCAGTGTGGCCCCGGAGGCCTGCTCAGCTGGGGCCCGGCTGTCCCCGTGGAAGCCCTCAGCCTCAGCCCCCGTGCTGGGCTCCAGGGCCTCAGTGCCAGGCTTCACAGTGGATAGCAGTCGCCAGAGCAGGGAGGAGGCGGCCAGTGACACGTATGTCCACACGAACAGCGCCCAGAACCATGGGTCCCGGATGGGCCTGCGCACCTCCGAGAAGAGCAGCAGCTTGGCCATGGTATAGATACCCACAGACAGGCACACGAGGGTGATGACCAGCCACGAGGCCCGCAGCCGCCGTGGCCCCAGGGCGCTGTTCTTGGCCACACCGATGGTGGCGCCCAGCAGCAGGCAGCTGCGGTACAGGCAGGCAGCCCAGAGGTCCAGCACCGAGTCGAAGATGTTGAAGTGGCGGATGTCATCCAGCAGGCTGCGGTCCAGGTGGCTGAAGGCATAGATGGCCGTGGTCACACTCACGTCCAAGCTCATGAAGGCCAGAGTCACCACCACTGCCTTCCACAGCCGCATCCTGCGGGCCGGGGGGCTGAGGGACAGTGCGGTTCACGGGGGTGAGGCCATGATCCTCTGTGGAGAGAGGCCAGCCTGTGTCAGGTCTGTGCGTGGAGCTGTGTGGCCTTGGATAACTGATAGGACCTCTCTGGGTTGTAATCTTCTTATCTGTAAAATGACAATGGCAAGAATTCTGACTTCCTGGGGTGCTGGGAGGTTTTCTTCCATAATCTTAGGCTAACCTGGGACTTGGACTCCTTGGACTCAAAGAGATCCTCCTGCCCCAGTCTCCCAAGTGCTGAGATCATAGGAGGGGCCACTATGACCTGTTTTCAGGTTTTTTTGTTTTTGTTTTTGTTTTTGGCAGGACCAGGGATTGAACTCAGGCCCTTGTGCTTGCCAGGGAAGCGCTTATTCCACTGAGCCATATCCCTGGCCCCTTCAGGGGGTCTTTACAAAGCATCTGCTACTGTGGGCCAGAGCCTGTTCTCAGCACCAGGGATTTAACAGTGAGCAAAACTGACTCAGATCCCTGGTCTTGTGGAGATGGTAGCTTGCACAGGAGACAAACAAGTAAAGAACAGAGCATGTTAAGACATAAGGGATACAGGGGAAAAAAAGAGGTGAGGAGGACAAGAGAGGAGTGAGGGGACTGCAGTTGGGGTTGGGGAAGCTCTCCCTGCACAGGTAACACTGGACTGAGATGGAAAAGGGGTGAGGGACGTGCCACTGGCTGTAGGGAAAAGCATTTAGGCAGGTGAAGAGACAGCATGGAAGCCCTGCAGCAGGGGCATGCCTTGGGCACCGAGGAAGGCCACCGCAGGGCAAGGAGGACCGAAGGGCTGCGGCATAGTATAAAGGTGCAGGTGAGGCCAGCAAGGCTCTCTTTTAACTACTACTAATTTTCCTGACCCCCTTTCTGCATTTGTGCAGCATCAGTGAGAAGTTCAGTGCGTGCCAGTCCTGGGCACAGTGCCTGGCACACCCTCACTGCTGCTGATTGCTATCAGCCATGAGCAGTGGGCAATGGACCCACGTGTCCCTCTGCTTCCCAACCTTGACTAGACCAGGAGGGAGTGGGAAGGTGTGGGTGGCTTTCGGGGATCTGTGCATTGCTTAGAAGTTTCTAGAATCTTCTTGTGCAGCTAGGTTGGCCCTTGCCCTCTGCCCTAGCACCCTGTGGTGTCCCAACAGCAGCCCCAAAGGCTCACACAGGGCCTGAAAGACTGGGAATGGGGCTGGTGACCTGGGCAGAGGGAGGAGCTTTTCCAGGGTAGGGTTGAGACCAGGCTGGGTTAGTCCTTGGTGCCACCTCCCGACCAGTCCTTTGAGGGAGGGGGCTTTGCTCTCCCATCTGCAAAATGGACAAAGCTCTGGAGCTCCCATGTGGCAGGGAGAGGCTCTGAGGGCCAGGAGAGGAAGCCAAGCCACAGCAGCCTGAGCAAGACCCACTCCCTGCACCTCTGGTGCCCACAGGTAGGGGTGCACCTCATGCAGTGTAGGAAGCCAACCTCACGCAATCTCATTTACAACTGGGTAAACCAAGGCACAGAGCGTGAAGTCAACTCAGTGAAAAAGACACTCAGGTGAAAAGGACACAAACCAGGACTTGGGCTGTTACGTGGGAGACCTGGCACCTGACCCCACCTGTGGACATGTGGCAGCACACAGCAGGCATCCATGAACTACAGCACCGTCTGTAACATGAGTGACTTGTTCCCCACCACAGCCACTGTCACCATCCTCATCTAGTTGGTGGACAAGCTGAGGCCCACAGAAGTTCATCACCCGCCTGATGAACTGGAGGGCAGTTGGAGGGCAGCGCTGCAGGGCTATGAACTTTGGGTCCCCAGACTCCACCTCCGGGGTCTTAATGGCGAAGCTCAGACACATCTCACATTAATAGATGCCAACAGGGAATTTCATATACGAGAAACTGAGTCTGAGTGGAGGGGTCCAGTCAGGAGGCAGATGAGACAGTGAGGATAATGAGGAAGACAAGAGCTGGTGACATGCGAGTCACTCATGTACCCCAATGCTCACAAGGGTCCCACCGGTAGGTTCTGTTACTATCCCCATTTTACAGGTAAAAAGTTGGAGGCTGTAAATAGAGTCCACACGGCTAGGGGGAGCTGTGATGTGAAATTCCAGAATCTGGGCTCCCAACTCCAGAGCTGTGCCCCTTCTCTCTTCATGGGGGAGGTGAGACCCCAGTGGTGCTTAGAAAGGGTTTGGGGTCCAGAGAGGGCATGGGGTGTGAGGCCAAGCCTGTGCCCTCACATCACCCCGGTGCCTCCAGCAGATCCCAGTGTCTCCCGGCATGGGGGCTGCTGAGTCAGCAGCTGCCACGAGGTGGGTGGGGTGGGGGGCAGGGCCCGGGACCAGCAGCCCTGCATGCCTGCCTGGACCTTGCCTGTCCTCAGGCTGGCTGGGCTGCCAGCACAGCTTCCTGCTGCAATGCAGAGGCCTCCATGCGTGAGTGAGTGGGCGAGCTCCCGGAGGTGCCCGGGAAGGGAGTGCCTGGCCCAGGGCCACCCCAGGCCTCCTGCCCAAGCCACCTCAGGCTGCTGCCTCTTCCTGGTGGGCAGAGGGGGGCCACAGCGCCCTGCACGTAGCTAGGGAATGGAAGCTGGTGGTGGCAGAGGCGCAGGCTAGACAGCAGCACAGGGGTCTGAGCAGCTCTCCCCACCTGAGTGCAGCCCCACAGCCCGGGTGGCTACCACCCCCTAGGAGCTAGTCACTCAGCCCACTCCAATACAGCCAACTCTACACACCAACAGCATGACTGTTGGAAGCATGTTTTGAGCCGTAAGCCCAGGTGGAAAGGAGGTGGGGTGTAACGAGGGCCACCCTACAAACACACAGCTGCGATGACACAGTGGTTCCCAAGTGCTGTTACTACCGCCTCCCTGTGAGCAGGATCCAACTCAGTCCGGTCAGGTTACAGTCCTGGCTGGGGACAGGTCTCTCGTTATTTTTAAAGTTACTGGGGGGTGGGGGGAGACAGAACACAGACCAGAGGCACGGGACCTCGAGGCTGCAGTGTTGCCCAAGTCTGCCCTGCAGTTCATGACTCAATCAGAGGACGCAGCTGGGCTCCACCAGGTGCAGCTGGAGGGCAAACTGTGGGCACATGGGTGACACGAGTCACCCAAGAGACAAGGACAAGGTGGTGGCCAGATGGCACAGCAGGCCCTGCCTAGGGCCCAACATAACTCTGGAAGACGGCCACTTGCCTGGACCCCTGACACTAGGAGTAGCCCAGGCTACCAGGTGACCCATCCACCTGGGGGGTTTGTCAAAGGCTTTCCTGTCCAGTGGAGGAGACACTGGTGGGAACAGCTCTGGATGTCAGCTGCAGAAAAGCATAGTCTGCAGCAGACGGGAGACGAATACCTACACTCCGCCTGCAGCAGTCACTGTTTCTGGGGTGACACTAGGTGCTTTGTGCCATGCAGCTCACAGTCCCCACCTTCCCCTGGGCAGCCTGATGGAAATGATGGAGGCAGGGCTGCGACCGTACATTTCACCCTCCCAGGCCCTGTCCTGACTTGGGTGGCTGGGTGGCTTTCATTCACCTCTCCCCCAGTGAGCTTTTCACCCCAAGGGGCCCTAGAGTTCGGGAAGACCCAGCTGGTGCTCTGCAAGTCTGGGCTACTGAGGCCCATGGGTGCATCCAGGGTTCATGGGGTCTCGGAGGCCTGGACGGGTTAGGGCTGAGCCCGTGTAGTTCTGCCCTGGCTCCCACCTGGTTGTGCCTATGTATCTCGACCTGGGGTGGGGACCTGGAGAAGCTGCTCAGGATCTGGTGCCTGAAGCCCAGGCCAACCGGGAAGCCCTTCCTACCACCCTCCTCCTGTCACCTGGCCCTGTGCCATCTGAAGTGGCGGTGAGGCCACCCTAACTCCAGGGGGTGGGGCAGAGGGCGGGGAATCCCTGTATCGCAGTTTGAAGCTATCTCAGGTGCACTAGGGCCTAGGGTGGGGGAGCAGCCAGGGAGGGCCCAGAAATCCAAGCCTCGCGGGCGGTGAGAGCTGGAAGACCGGGCGGGAGGGGACTCTGCTACCCGGCTCCACCACAGTCAGGGCGCAAGGGTGGGGAGCTGCGCGAGGTCGACCCCGGGACAGACAGCCCTCCCGGGATCCCAAAACGCTCCCCGTACAGTTTCCCAGAAGACGGCGACGCCTGAGGAGTTAAAATAATGGCACCTTCGCGCGGCGGGCACCGAAGGATGCTGCGGGTGGGGGCTGGGACCTGGGCCAAGGGCGCTGGGTAACGCAGGGCCGGAGCCCAGAAGATGCCCGCGGGGCCGGGCCAGGGTCCCGCGCGCAGCTCTCTTACCTGGCACCTGCCACCAGGTGAGCCGTGGGAGGGGGCGCGAAGCGGGGCCGGGGTGTAAGAAGAGGGCGCAGTCTCCGCGCCGCTCGCTCGTAGGAGACCGCTCAGGGCGCTGCAACCTCACTCCTCGCGGCTCCCGCCCGCGCCGCGCCGCGCCGCTGCAAGGTCGGAGCCCTGCCCCACGCGAGCCGCGGGCTGGGCCTCCGGTGGGCGGGACTTGGGGGCGGACCTGTCCTCGCGGAGGGGTGGGGCCTCGGAAGGGCGTGTCCCAGGCTGGCGAATCCGCTCTCGCGGGGCGGGGCCTGAGCGGGCGGGCTCTCCTGCACGGGGCGGGCCCTGAGCGGGTCCTGCCTCACCTAGGATGAACTCTGAACTTCTGCGGGCCATGCTCCTGCATTCCCGGTGCCCTTCATCTGGAGGCCGCCGCTCATCCGCTCATCCTCACCGGAAGGAAATGGCCCCAGCGACTGGAGCTTTTCCCCTAGAGCAGCAGCCCGGCACTGCGGACTGGGAATAGGGGGTTATGGCCCTCATTCACCCTCAACCATTCAGCAAGCATTTATCGAGCATCTACTACGTGCCACACACCGTTCTAAGCATCTGAGAAGTCGGGCTTGGGGCGCGCCTGCAGTCCCAATGTTAAGGAGGCTGAGGCAGGAGGATCACTTGAGCCCAGGAACCTGGCAACACAGTGAAATCTCCGTCTCTTCTTTTAAAAAAAAAAAAAAAAGCCTGACATCCAACAATAACCTAAATAAGGTCCCTCCCCTTCTGGAATTGATATTCTAGGTAGAGAGGCAGGTCACACACATAATAAGTACACCGCGTATATAGGAAGGAACGCATTTCATGGAAATAGAGTATTCTCCAGGCCTAGGAGTGGGGAGGTGCCCTCGCTACCGCCTGCCGAGCGCTGGAGGCTTTTGTGCCCGGAGACAGAATGGCAGTGCGCACACACAAGCGCTGGAGGGAGGGCTGGAGAGCTGACAGAGGCCGCCTGAAGGATCTGGCGACAAGCATCTGGGCAGAGGAACCGGCAAGGCCGGCCACGACTAACGGGTGGGGCACCGGGAATTCAAAACAGCTTCCGAGCCAAGATGGTGGCCCACGCCTGTAATCCCAGCACTCAGGAGGCTGACTGGGAGCTTGAAACCAGTTTGGGTTACAAAGTGAGCTCAAGGCTGGCCGGAACTGCATCGAGAGACCCTGTTTCCAAAAGACCAAAATAAATAACTAATAAATAAAACGGCTTCTGATTTTAAAAAGATTTTTTGGGGGGACCGCATATGAAATTCTTGTATAGATAAACGTACAAAAGGAAGCTGAGATTTGAGCTGAAGACGGTTACTAGTGTGGCACAAGTCTGGGAGTAACCTAGATCCCCTTCCACAGGGAGCCGGCTAGATAATTAGAGTGCATCCCCTTGGCAGCATCCTCAGGGCCCCGAGCCAATGCACACAGCAAAGAAAGTCACAGCAAGCACCCTCAGAGGCCTACTCAGGAAAGCAGAGCATGTCACTGCTTGTGTAAAAACAAAGGCACACAGAGAACTGTATAAGGTGGGATTGAAACAGTGAATTTTTGGGCTGGGGAGATGGCTCAGTAGAATATGCACTTCCCTGGCAAGCTCAAGGGCCTGAGTTCACTCCCCGGTTCTGCAAAAAAAAAAAAAAAAAAAAAAAAAAAAAAAAAAACCAAACAAAAAAAAACCCCAAAACAGTGAATTTTTAAAATGCAGTGCAGTAAAAGATGCACTGCCATTAATTTCTTTTGAACTCCTCCCACTTGCTGCAAACTCGCTGAGCCTTTCTTGCCACTCAACGGTCAGAGACCTCTTGAGCGAGAGTCATTATTTTACTTTATTTTTTGATACAGGATTTCACAATGCAGTTCAGGCTGACCTTGAACCTATTTTGTATCCCAGGCTGGTCTCAACCTCTCAGGGATTCTCCTGCCTCAGCCTCCCAAATTGCTGGGATGACAGGCACGTGCCACCACACCTGGCATGTGAGCTCACTATCGTGGCTGCCTGATGTCTGAATTTATTAAAATGTAGCAAAGAATGGTCATTTTGATTTTTTTTTTTTTTTTTTTTTT